GCAATTTCCATCTTGCAAAAGAAACAGAACTAGAATTTCAGGACAATCAGGGCATTAGCTGGAATTTCCAAGAGAAAAAAAAAATCTAAAAGGTTAAAGCTGAGAGGTACCTGAAGATGGTATTGCAAACTAATTTCTACCATTGTTTAAAATTACCGAGCGCTGCATTCAACCTAGAGACGCTGGTTTAAAAAAAGATGCACTACAGAGAAGACTGATAACAGAAACAATATATCTTCATGTCACCGAGAGACACAAACAGATAACTCTCTGACAAATGCGCTTCAACAAACAGAAAGCATTCCTTATCTGTTTCTCATTACAGAAAAGTGAGCATAATCAGTCGCTGTCCCCAATTCACGGAACACGTTCGAATACTTAATAAATGCGTTTTAAGATTTCCTTTTCCTCCACAGCTAAAACAAAGGCTCGAATCAAAATCATCCGGAGACTCTGAACATCCTGCCATCATCTTTTTCCTTTTCACCGTGAGCTTATCTCTCCCGGCTCGACACGGGACGCGTCTAAGAAGCCTGTCAGTGCGAAAAGGCAGATGTCAAAATGTTTGTTACCAGGCTATCAAGACTATCAGTCGGTTTCACCGTGGAATAAAGAGCAGCGGATTTCATCTTCATTCCCACACGTGTGTGTTCTTACTTCGTTTGGAGGAACTAGCAAAAACATTGCTTCTCTCTTTTTCATCTTTGTGTTTTTTTCATTGCTTAGTTCTTTAAAAAATCCAGAGGCTACCTTTGGACGTCAGGTGACTGTGTGAAACCAGGAAGCAAAACATCCTGTGACTCCCCACAATCCTCTACTTGGGGTGAATTTTTCAGCAGGTTTAAATAGTCAATTAATAAAGTCCTGGAGCAATATAACTATGATCAATGCTCTATTACGTAATTTAGAGCACGTTGGGAACAGAAATCCGACTATCCTTCAGCACTCCAGGACCAGCGTTGTTCTCATCGGAACATTACTTGCTTAACCGATCAATTGCTTGATCAAGCACCCTGATCTCTAAGTGTTACCTGGATGGTGGTGATGCCCAGGTCCTTCCCTATCAGTACCCTGCCATCCTGCAGCCTGGCAATGCGCGGATCCTCCACTTTAAAGAAGTCCTCCACCAGCTCCGTGATGTCGGCCTGCCAGTCGGAGCCCAGCATGTAGACCAGCTCTCCCCCCGGGTCGGCCGGCTCGGCCACGAAATGGGTCAGGACCCGGACCATGGCGTGCTGGTACTGCAGGGTGCAGCCCTTGCCCTTCTTCTCATCATCCTCCTCGTCGTCACTCTCTCGTGTAGGCCTGCAGGAAACAGGGGTTGGCAGCAGAGTTCAGAGGCTACGGCCCTTGTGCATGTTTTCATAGAAATCTCTACTCTCTAAGACTTCTCCTGGAGCAGCTCCCTGGCTCATTCCTCATGATCTCATCTCTATATATCGCACTTATTTGGATCAGAACAAACTACTGAAATAATAATTCCATGCAGTTGTGCGGCTCTTTGCATCCCAAGCTATCTTCCAGGTACTTCAGATATAGGAGGGGACCCACTCTGTCCTTCATCTGAGTTTCAAACCTGTCTAAGTCACATGTCAGTACAGTGACCACGGTCTGGGCCTGAAACACGACTCCTTGATATACGGTATACAATCTTGTTTTTTTATTGTCAGACAAATACAACAAATTGTCTTCGCCAGAATCATGTCACAGGGTATTACACCACATTCTGCAACAGTCTAAGAGAACGATTGTTTATCTCACGGTAAACAACACTTTCACAGTTTGCAGGAAAGGCACATTGTGAAAATGAAGCACTGCAATGACTGGAATTCTAGCAGTTTGTCTACAGATGACATTTATTCCAACTGTTTCTAAAATAAATATAAAACAAAAGGAAAATCGCAGTCCATACGGTTGATTTTGTAGAAGACGAGTGTGCCACTGACTCGTGCCTCATTGATTTGACAGCATGCATACTGGCTAACAGAAAAACAATATTTCGAACACCAAACTGGAAAACACTCCAAATATTTTTCAATTTTGTGTACAATATTTTGCCCTCCCTGCAGTGAGTGGAGCGAAGATCCTGGGGTGTGAGGATCATCTGTGGGGCGAAAGGAGAATCGAATAAATAAATTCTCCGCCCGTCACCGGAGAAACTGAGAAACTGTTTTGGTTCATTAATATTTAGACACATCTGGGACGTTAACGTCTCTTGAAGAGAAGCCTTTGTCAAACTGCTTGCACTTTGATGTTTTCCCCAACTTTATTATTATTGTTTTTCCTTCTCTTATTATCTTGTACGTTAGGAAATCGAACGATAATGGAAAGAATGGATGTATTCTTTGGTTGCTGCTTGAAGCAATAAGTCTGCGTAACACAGACCTCAGAGATTTTTTCTGCCCATGCGTTTTGGTTGCACTTTGTCTGCACTCATGCATGGCTAAGATTTGCCTTTATACTTAATACAATATTAACCTTTAAGAAAACTGTGGTATTACAGTAGTGTGCATTCTCTTGACTATCTTTCCTCATGCTACCTTGCCTTTCACTCAGTTTTTCTATCAGTGTGATGTATCTGCATGTTTGAAAGTAGGCATGTTTCAATTTAAGAATGAATTCATCACGATAATTGATGGATGTTGCTTACACACCATGATGATGTGCACAGGGGACCAGCAGGAAGCAGAACAATGCAGAACGTACAGTGCTGCAGAGACCTTTTAGTATAAATGGTTAGTTTATCTCCTGCTCATTCCCTCAGAGTCACTCACATAGACTAAATCTTTATGGAAAATGGCGTCTGAGTTTTAAGGAGAATGGGGAAGATCATCTTGAAGCATGTGAGTCAAAAGCGATGTCTGTGAGAAGTCAAAGTCACCAGAAATTCTGGACAATTCCTGACGAGCTTGTGCATCACTGAGACACAGCCTCCTGCTGAGTGACACATACAGTAGCAGCCATTCTGGTCACACTGCACAGCAGGTCAGGGGGAGGACTGGGAAATTTCTTCAACAGTGCAATTAAAAGGGGCAAATATTACCTTAGGAAACCAGAGAGGAATTTATCCTAGAAACTGGGTTTAACACTCCTACACTGAAAGAGCCATGGTAGCTCCTGACCGGAAGGTCCTGGGTTCAATCCCAGGTAGGGACAAGGTAATTCCTTCCAGACGGCTCCCAGGAACCACTCAGCCTGCTCTCCAAATGAGTACCAGGGTTAATCCTTCCGGGGGTAATAGCCCAGCCGGAGCGTGATGTTGACCACATCACCTCCACCTCCAGTGTCGGACGGCCAAGAAAAATGGTGGCCCTTGCCCCCCACTCCCCATGGGTCTGGATGGCCTGAAAAGGGACCTACTGTACCTACCTACACTGAAAGAGTCCTGGGCTCTTTAGTGACCAAGTCATTTGTACCTCATTGTAATGGCTTATCCAAAAGAATGGCACCCCCTACAGAACAGTGTCCCACTCACCATAATGGGGTGCTGGTTTGGAAGCTCTTGTCCAGAGGGAAGAGCGCCACCAACTGGTCGACGAGCAATTTAAACTTATAGCAGGAATCTGGCTTTCCTGTGAGGTTTCCCACCCCAGTACTGACCAGGCCCAGCCCTGCTGGGCTCTTGAGACCTGACCAGATCAGGGTATAAGGTACTAATGCTGCTGTCACCAGTGGTCTTATAAATCTCTCAATAATATACAGAAAAAATGCTTTATGTCTCCAACCATTCATTTTTTTCTGTAATGTATTTTTGGCCAGCAAGCATAATGAGGGTGTCATTACACTAATGAAGACAGAGTTTCCAGGAGCTTGTAAGGTCTCTTCAGTACAGAGCACAAGCTCTCAGCTCAGGGCTATTTCCTCTCCTTACAATCTCAGCAGCTGAACACAAGCAGCCTGAACACTGCTGTCTGAACACAAGCAGTCTGAACACAAGCCGTCTGAGCACTGCAGTCTGAACACAAGCGGTCTGAACATAAGTAATCTGAACACAAGTAATCTGAACACTGCTGTCTGAACCACAAGCGGTCTGAACCACAAGCGTTCTGAACACTGCAATCTGAGCACTGCAGTCTTAACACAAGCAGTGTGAACACTGCAGTCTGAACACAAGCGGTCTGAACACATGCAGTATGAACACAAGCAGTCTGAACACAAGCAGTATGAATAATGCAGTCTGAACACAAGCAACACAAGCAGTCTGAACACAAGCAGGATGAACACAAGCAG